AAAAAAATAATGGCTCTCTATATTGCTTTCTTATAACAACAGCTCCCATGTCTTTCAATGTCTATACCTTTATAGGTGTTTTATTTTACAGTTTTATGATTATTATAGATATTGCATAATATTTTATTTTAGCTTTCGTATGTTAAAAATAGAATAATATAAAATTTGCAATAGACGATGTTACATATGTGAGTGTGATTTGTCACAAGACTATAATGTTCAGCAGGTTGAATGAATGAATGAATGAGTTTATTTGTATTATACAATATAGGAAATAAGCAAGATAATTTACAAACACAACGTTACAATTGTATACGTACAGTAAGTATTGTTTTTCTATATACCTATAAATTATTTTGACATATATAGATATTTATTTATTTATTATATTCATTATTACAAATATGTGTACATGGCGGACTTAATGCTTTAAAGCTTTCTCTCTCAGTCAATCATAGGGAAGTGTCAGAATACTCGAATGCGGTACTAGTAATTATTGATATACATGCATACTAAAATTACATATATAAACGAATAAATATATATAGGTACCATTACTATTATTTTATATTACACATTGTTTTTTGTTTAATGATGTATTTTATAATCGGAGTCCATAAATCTCAAGATAATTATTTATCATCATCATCATATCAGCCGTTAACTGTCAGCCACTGAACATAGGTCTTCTCCATAAGAAGGGTTTTGCCAGTAGTAGTATTATACTTTTTTGAAGAATTTCATACTACATTTTTGACTAGCGCCGAGAGGAATACTGGGGGGGTTTTAGTGGGTAAGTATCCCACAGTACCCATCGTAATCCCGCGGCGGTGGGTCTCTTTCTGAAGATTTTCCCTTCGACAAAAAAAAGGGTAAATCGCGGCAGGGAGCTCATTTCACTGCTTGAGCGTTTGTGGGAGAAAACTCGTCTGAAACCGCAATGTACGAGACCATTTAGGTTCTAGCGTGTGAGGATGAATTCCCTGTCGATGGTGAGCGGTTACTGATTCATCTTCCAGTTCTGTCAGTGATAATTATTACATGGAACTACGTTCATGTAAGCAGAATTACTATGAACAACTATGAACAATCATCAAGTTTAATAACTATATAATAAATTAAAATTGGATGAAATTCCGTTTTTTATACAAAAGAATGTTAAAATTACAATCACCAATGAATAACTTAATAATCATAATGATAGTTGACATAATAATTACTTTTTTCTATTTTATAATCAGTATTTTAATACCAAAGTTTACATCTTGTTATTATATAGGTAAGTTTTTTTTTCCTTTGAACGTCTCGACTTTTGAAGTTTGTTCTAACAAAGAAAAAACTTTGAATTTATAATTGCTTTGGACTCGAACAACAATTATTGTTTTCGAAGACTCCATTTTAGAATTACTATAACAGAATATTATTTTTAAAATATATTTCAACTTTTATCAGTATTGCATTGATATTTTTATTGTTTGTATTTAAAATTTTATGTTATTATTTTATTATATTCGTATTAACTATAAGGGTCTTTAGTTTTGCAAAAGAAACATGGCATAATTTTATTAACAATTCAGTTAAAGTATTCATGCAATAATTAAATTAATATTACATATTTAATTTTATTGAATGTTCAGTAAGTACCTTGCTTTATATATGAGAGTTAAAAATTAAGGACATTCAATTTTTATTGAATGTCCTTAATTTTTAAAGTGCCATTATAAGCTATCAAGTTAAAGCTTGATACTTGTACTTGTTATTGTTGATTGATAACAAGTATCAATCAACAACAACAAGTACATATATACTACAACAGTATATATACTATAAGTATAGAGCTTGATATTTTAAAATAGTAAGCTATATAATACAAATAGGGCTGTCTTTCAATTTGAAAGGAAACGTATGATAGATAATTTACAAGTTATAGAGACAACATTTTACTTCTCAGGAAGAGTAATGTATAATGTACCCCTGTGTGCTAGAGTGTCTTTGGTCAATCATTACTATTAGGATGTTTATCATAACTATACGCGATGGTTACCACATTTCATTAGCTGGATTGTCAGCTTGTTTTGCATTCTAAGTTCCTTAAAAGAATAGGTACAAAGACTATGTTATGTAGTTCTGTGTATTAAGGCTTCTTAGGCTAACCCGCCTGCCAAGTATGGTAACTACTAGCAAAACTATCCTTATGGGAAGGTCAGCAGTGGATAGTTAACGGCTGAAATAAGATAAATAAGATTTCTTAAGGGTGGGCAACACGCACGTGACACTTCAAGTATTGCAGGCGTCCATAGGCTACAATAATTTTTTACTATTAGACGGGCTGTATGCTTGTTTTCCACCTTAGTGTTGTAAAAAAATATGTACCTTTTTTCATCATTTAAAATATAATATAATATAAGTGGCAAAATCTATATTGAACGAATTACCTTCTCAGAAGGCATATGCCGGAGGGGACCTTAGTTAACTTTAACACAAAGTGCACAAACTGTTGGACATACAGAGTTTGATCTGTGATACGGCTTTGCAACTTGAAAACTACTGTTTTAATGCCAGATAACTTAGAACAGTTTCAAAGTTATCCGGCATTAAAACAGTTTATATCTTATCTTTTGTGAATAAATGCGCTTGGATGCTTTACAGTTTTTGGTTATATATTTCTGTCCATGTATTTTGATATTTAAAACCTATGTAGGTGAATATTATATTCCTCTTTGAGGGTATAAGAAGTAACCGATATATAAGTATTATATTTGTAGTTCTTATATGTGTAACTTTGTAATAAGTATCACACTTATATAAAACAACTTTTGAAATAAAACTAATATATTCCTACATTTTTCCTTCAGTATAAAAGTAATAATATTGTACTATTACTTAATATTATATATAATATTAGGTATATAATTAGTAATTAATATAATACTTATATTTAGTATTGAACATTTTATATGATGTTGCCAAACTTTTACTTATTATATGTCTAACAAGCAACTTAAGATAGACTTACATATAGGTATATAGAATACTCCGTTGATAATATACTCGTCGAGTAATTTAATGAGATTGTATTACAGTACTTTTTCTATTAAACAATATGAAAATAAATAATAAAGTTGACATTTTATGTTGAGATAATTACATCAGAAAATAGTAAGAAAATATACATTCAAATTTATATTGTATGGCGTGTTTTGGTTCGCCACGACAAGATTAGAGAGTGAGAAAAGTTGATCTATAAAATAAAGCCTACTTTAGCGTAATAGGACGAAATAGATATCTCATTTTTCAATATGATTTATTATGTTTTGTTAAAAACTGAATATTTCATGACATTGGGAGTTAGGGGTTATGCTGCGGTGAAGGTTGTAATGGGTTTATAAAGGCATCGTTACACTAACGTATTAAAATATTTCTTATACAACTTAAAATGACAATAAGGTTAAGGGCCCATCTAATTTAAAGTAGTAGCCATTTCCAATAGATATTGACCGCCCCATAGATATCTTAGAATTCACTGTTACATCTTCGGTTACGCTTTGCCATTCCTGAAGAATATGGTTTTATGAATCTGCACAATTTATTTATTTATTCATTAGTACAAATATGTGTATATGGCGGACTTAATGCTAAAAGCATTCTCTTCTAGTCAACCATAGGGAAGTGTCAGAATACTCGAATGCGGTACTACTAATTATTGATATACATACATACTAAAATTACATATATAAACGAATAAATATATATGAATAACCAATATACTTACACATATATTATATATACTATATTATACACGAATTTGGGAATAATATAAAGCACTTATTGCTCGGATAAAGATAAAAAGTGAGTTTGAACGCTTTTTTTGAAAGACGGTTTAGTCGTAATTGTAATTTTACTACTAAATTCCATCTATTCTCGCCTTTTATTCTCAAATACAACCATGCAAGTTCTTGGTTAAAGAAACACGAGTGGAATAGTAGGTGCTATAAAGTATAGTATACTACAAAGACGGCTTGTTATAGTCTCGATCTGATGATAACGATAACTGCGCTCCACAGTACGTAATATATTGTATTTTTTTTGCTTTTTATTTATATTGATTTGTAACTGTTATATTATAGATATTTCTCTTTGTTCGTTTAAAGTACTATAAAAAAAGAAACATAAAAATATAATAGTATGTAAAATATACTCTACAAGCATCGTATTGGTTAGATTGTAGGTATCTCACATTGTTGGGATGGCAATATCTTGTCATAATGCATTAAAAGGAAGTAAACAATAGAAAAAAACTTTATGCTAATACTTAAGAACTTAGTAAGGGTCAACGGATCCCTGGCTCAGCTTTGACTACTGCAGTATAAATATAAATACACATATATATACTGCATAGCGGTGGTATTCTATCAGGTCTGCAAATAATATCACAGAAAGACACGCCTGAAACTATCGTATACATATCTATATTCTTTAGAGTATACAATTTTTTATCTTATTACGTAAGTACCTATTATGCTGAATTTATGAAACATTGTACGAAGAACTATCTCATTTTTTTTTTGTAAGCTTAGTACTAAACAACTATCTGGATGAAAAAATGACTTCTTGGAAAGATGAAAATATTGTGAGACGAAAAATTTCATACCTATTTGTAAACCAAACATATCTATTATAATTTGCTTCGATATTTTTTGTGATACGTTTTCGCGTGAATATTTTCAGTTTCATATGTAAACGTTAGGCATATATTTCTCTTTGTAGAAAATATTTAGTTTCAAATTTTCTTTTATTCGATAACTGTATACTTAAAATTTGTTATTCGATTTTCTTGAAAATACTACAAAAACGAAATGTGTTACAGTAAAGTACTAGACGATATTTTATTCCAATATATAAAATAATATTATCAGTATGAAATTATGTGCAATAAATTGTATTAAATATGTAAGGACAGGACGCCCTTGCCCGTGAATGTGATATCATATGATGGCGTTTTGTTTGCATAGTTTATCCCTACACGGACACTAATGGGTTGATACAGTAATATTGTTGTTCTTATCTGATTATGGATTACTGGAATAAGCTATTACGTTTCTCGTTTCAGAATATTTGGTGGTCAGTGACGTCTGTGCATTTGTATAATCGTGACATTAATTTTTTTTTTTTACTTTTCTTATTTTAAATACGAGATATCATTTGAATGTAGCGATTACTTAATTTATGGCTATTTGTGACAAACGTTTTTAATTATATTTTGTTTAATTAAAATAAAATGTTTTACACATAAATAGCACAAAAGTTTTTTAAATTCGTAATTAATGTAAAATTTAAATAAGTTTTAGCATGCAGTTAGTTCAGTCGCGTTTAGCTAATAAGCCTTCGGTAAAACTAACAGCGGCTGTCAGGTAAGATTTAGTTTAAATTTTCAAATAATAAAAACAAACTGTCGCCCAAAAAGTTCGGAGTGTAAAGTGAAGCAGCATTTCACTCCAGGACAAAGACTGCTATATAAGTCACAAGTCTGACTCTATACAGTGTACTGTTCTCAGTTGTGGGCGGGAGCTCCTGGATACAAGCTTAATCCTCTTTATGCGGTCTAGAGGCGTGCTATGAGAATTGTCAAGGATCCTAGGTTAACAGGCAGAATCGATCTCCTTACTTTAAGGCGAGACTTTATTTCGCTTTGCATCTTCTACCGTCTGTATAAAAAAATGTTTTCTAAGGAACTCTTTAATATGATACCTACAACTACCTTTCACCATTGTACCTTTCGCCATCAGCAGGGAATTTATTCTCATAACTTAGAACTAGAATGGTCACGCACTCTGTGATTTCAGGTTGTGGAATGATCTTCCTGTCGAGGTATTCCTTAGAGACTATAGTATGTAGTTCTTCAAAAAGGGAGTATTAAGGTTTCTTAACCGCGCGCATGACATCCCTGGTATTAAGTATCCATAGGCTACGATAACCCTTGTTTACTCGGTTTAGACGGGCCGTATGCTTGTTTGCCATCATAGTTGTATTAAAAAAAATGATAGGCAGTGAAAGCCAGTAAATACAAATCTTTATCTGTGGGAAAGATAAAAAATAAGGGAATAATATGGGAAAGAGGATAGGGTTCCTTGTGTGACTAGTCTTAACTACCAACAGTATTCTGGATTAAAACATAGTATATTACAGAAATTTTAATCTATATCTGTAATTAGGGCTCTTTTATCCCGATATGAGTGATCATATCACAATATGAGTAAAGATGATTAATACAGATCGTTTATTGAATCTAATTACCTGTATTTTTAAATGTTATTATCTAATTAAAAAAAAATAACTCATACATTGCTGTAAAACGTATTTTAATTTTTATGTAATATTGCAATAAGTATACGTATGCTGTAGAGATGAGAGCTTTGAGAATTATGTGTGGTATTATATTAAAAGATAGAGTAAGAAACAGTGTGATTAGAGAGAAGTGTGGACTGAAAGACGATGTAGTGACAAAAATCGAAAAAGGAATGTTGCGTTGGTTTGGTCATTTGGAGAGGATGGATGAAAGAAGAATTACGAAAGAGATTTATCGAGCAAGAATGAATGATGTCGGTAGGGGCCGCCCTAGACGAATGTATGTTGACCAAATAGGCGACGTGCTGAAGAAGGGCCAAATTACAAGTACCAGTAACCGGCGAGCGTGTATGAAAAGTTTGATGAATGTGGAAGAAGCGAAAGATGTTTGTTTAAATCGAAGCATTTGGCGTTCCATTGTTTCTGCCTACCCTAATGGGAGACAGGCGTGACCGATATGTATGTATGTATACGTTTCTAGTAACAAATATAATTTATATATAAATTGTAAATAGCATACCTAGATGGATTGAAAAAGTAATGAGATATAAAGGATAATTGCAATTAAAAGAATAATTAGGTACCTTCATAGGTTTAAAACGGTATCATACCTTTATCTTTACAAAAGCTGTGTAACGAAAACAGGAAGGTTTTATGTAAGTTATCGAGGTTTTCCCAAGAGATTACTGCACTGGCTCTTTTTAAAAGGGCGTTAAAAGATTTCTTTAGGGTCGATAAACCAATACATGATACCTATGGTATTATAGATGTTCATAGGACGATAATCGCTCACTATTAGGTGAACTGTGTAATTGATGTCTTCACCGAATAAGAAAAGAGCTTATGAATATTTTTTATAATTAATAAATTATTATTTCACAGGAATGCATCTTGTAGCCGTGGATGGTTAAAATTCGTGATTCAATGCACTTTTGGTGCTATCACTGTAGCCAGCTTCATTCTGATACTTATTATGGCGATGCAAAATCATAAAAATAATCATAATTCTATTGATAATACACGCTGTTCTGCAATCAAGTGCAGAATAGAATGCCATGACGCCCCGTATTCTGTTGATTATGAAGATGACATAATTTTCGTATCATCGGTAATTATTTTTAAATATTTATTTTTATCAACATTTAGTATGAATGAAAAAGAAACTTAGTTCATTTTACACATATACATTAAAGATTGACTGTCAGAGATCTCTCTATGTTATAAGTTTACCATTGTATATTAAATCTTTTAATGTGTATAATGTAAGTTATATATAATAAAGATTTTACAATACAATACGATATAATCTCAAATAGACATCTATAAAGCAGCAGTCTATATATGAGCAGAGCTTAAAAAGATCTAGGCGCAAGCAAAGCTAATACCCTCTTAATGTTCGTATTAAAATTGTAGAGCTTTGACTGCAGATTAATATATTATAATAGTTACTCCAGTCTAGACAAGGTATTAATATTTTTTATGTATAACGTAGAAGTTAAGTCAGATTTGAGTGTAATCTCTACAAAAGGTAAGGTTTATGAAAGGGCAAAAAGAGCATGAGCAATGCAGAAATTTTAGAATATGTTTAATTGTGAGTAAAATAATTATAAATTATTTTTAATATGCATATTATATGCATAAAAATATCACAGTTGAATCCTTCTATTTTTTTTTATTTCATGTATTATTTTCAGTTATCCGAATTCGACTGTCAAGGACATTCATTAGTACTCAACCAACCAATGTTTATAAACGAAACTATGCCTTCGAATTGGATGTCTAGAGTACGAGTTGACATTTATAACTTAGTTGTTAATGGAGGAAATCTTAGACATATCAGGTCAGATGCATTTATGAGTCAATTTGGAGCAACCATAGTTACTATACTATTTGATGGAGTAACAATAACAACGTTTACCGCAGATGCTCTAGTGGGACTTTCAAGTTTGAGAGAGTTATATGTCAAGAACTCTAACTTATTGCACTTGCATCAGAATGCTTTACGTGCTGTTGACGATACTTTATGTACTCTTACTATAACTGAAAGTGGTTATTGGAATCCTTACAATGTAACAGGATCAGGAACGTCTGTATTATCGAAATTGGAATTAGTAGACTTTTCCAACAACATATTTGACAATATTTTAAACAAAGAAAGTTTTACTGCTTTAGTAAATTGTAAAATTTTATACCTTAATTCGTGCAAAATAACAGCAATAGGTGAGGGTACTTTTGATTACTTGACAAATATACATATTATTTATTTAAATAACAATTACCTTATAACAATACCGCCAGGACTGTTTGACAGAATTATAGAAATGGTACGCCCGTACCCCCGAATTTATTTACAAGATAATTTATGGTATTGCGATTGTACGATGAAGCATTTAAGAATACTGAACAACAGAGATATACTTCCTGTTAATCCGGTCTGTCACAGTCCCAAAGAGATGCATGGACAACAATTTTCTGCGCTCGAGAACTTTTGCAATAACGAAACTCAAGGTGTCGTTGTTGTTGAAGTATATGAATCGGAGAAGTCCACTTTAATCCCTCAAAATGATATTATTGGTACGCCATTTCGAGATAATAATTATACTAGAGAAGTCAATCGTAATGATGATTTACTTTATTACAATTATTCATGGAGATTAGTGTCACCTATACGACAGTTTAGTTGTAAATATGAAACTTGCACAATAGATATGTTTTTAAGGTCCAAGAGCCGGAATAAAGAATATACATCTATTAATCTTAGTGATTGGATAAGACCGATGCTTTTATTAAATAGTACAAAATTTTCAATGATGCAAGTGAAGTTGGTAGAATCTGATCGATATGGACTGTTGTGGTATCAGTCTGATTTGCCAAATGAGGTATACTGTGTAAATACAATGCCCAAATTGATTCGAATATATGATATAAATATTACGAATCGCTACACATTTTGTCCTATAAATTTAGATTCAAAGGAAGTTGAATCTACAAAATGCGTTGATTATCCATTATCTGATTATTTAAATAATGATTCTTTAAAAGGAATTAGTTCAGTAACATTTTATATTTTTACGGTATTGATATGTCTGGCTTTCGGAGCTATATTTGTCTATGGTTTAGTACGGATAAAACCCACTCTACTAAAAGGCAGTAAAAGGTTACTTTTTGTAAAACACAAAAATGTTGAGGCATTGGTCTTACCTCCAAAGGTTTCTCTGCGAGATAGCGTAGTGCATAAAGAATTTTCCCCTGTACATTCGGAGAGTATATTTTTTGTGTCGTCTAATCAAAGCATCAAAAATTTTGTCAGAATGAAATCTACTAGAAGTAATGACAGTAATGCTCCTAGCTATATATCAGCTTTGCAACCCACTGATGATCAACTTGCAGAGTGGCGCATTCGGCATCATTTTGATACCAGTTTTCAGACAATGACTTCTATAAGCTCTGAATTCTCTAGATTTTCCTCTTTGTCTGATGATAAATTTGATAATAAGTCTACTGAATTTTTCAGTGATGTAGTGTATGATAATTTGAAATGAATAAAAAAGTTTAAAAGTCGTACTTTTTCTGAAAATTTAATGTTAGGTGATCAAGTAAAAGATGACGATGGAAAGAGCTATAAATTGAAATATACGACAACTATATATCAAAGTACTACTATTTAGTCCCATTAGTTCTACACTATGAAATGAACAATTTTTTTTAATTATCTCGATCGCAATGTCTCACTATAATTATCTTAGAAGATTACCACTTTTAAGAAACAGCATTTAATATAAATAATTAGATTTTTACATAGATAAAATTAGATTAATCATTTCATAAATATGTCTTGACCAGTCAGTCACTCACACACGATTAAGCATTGATCTGATGTGGTGACGGAATGTGTTTCACTATTTTTTTCCCAGGATATCGTAAGATGTGGCCAAGAGAACAAAATATTAGAGATCTATGTCCAACAGTGGGACATTAATGAGTAAATAGGGTAGAATGGTATGGCCATGCATTGGCTAAAAATATCAATGTACTAAAAATTATATTAAGATTACTATTTTATTAAATTAATTGAACCACTCAATAAAATGTTTAAGTAGTTTGGATAAATTGTCCATAAATTTTATTCTAAATAATAAAATATATTTTTTATTAAACATAATAATCAAGTTGTTTTATTCGAATCCTCCTCAAAGAACACATTTCATCCCAACGCAATTCCTAATCGGTACGTGAACCTATAAATATCAACTCGTCTCACATCATCAATTTTGTAAGTCTACATAATATTTTCTCTCAAAATTCTCTACTACACGTAACGTTGAACGCATTCCCACTAAACTAATAGATTGAAACGGTGACATTTCTACTTGTTGATGGTTTCCTAACTGGTGTCACAGCCGCTACAGTCTTCAACCGTGTCGTGAATCAATCGAGTACAGCTGTTTTGTGTGTTCACCGCCGCGCCGCGACGTGCATTGTCTAGCTATTGGCTGACCATTTTATTTTTGGTTACATTTAAAAACAACTGTAGGCCTCGGCCGAGATGAATTAGTATCATTATTTTTAATCTTAATACTATATAATTGATTTATTACTTTTTTTTTTAAATAATTTAAAGAATATATTTTTATTAAATAAGATATATTTAGGTTGATAAGTACATTAATCTATACTAATATTATAAAGAGAAGATGTTTTTTTGTTTGTGTGTAATGGATAAACTGAACAACTACGCAACCGACTTTAAATATTTTCACCTATAGTAAGCTATATTATATTATTTTCGACAATTCTACCCATGCGAAGTTGGGCCAAATTACTAGTTATTTATATTTTATCGGAGGTATTCACGACCTGAAAAATTGTATGGTGCACATCAAGAATTTTGGGAATAAATTACATGATAAAAGTAAACATTTTTATTTTATATGAGTTGTAAATTAATTAATGAATGGATGAGTATACTTTATTTGCATTATACAATATAGGAAATAAGCAAGACAATTAACAAACACAACGATACAATTGTATAAGTACAGTAAAGCTGTTGCCGTAAGCCATTTAAATTAATATTATTTTAAGTAGTGTTAGAAACATAGCAACAGAGTAAGAGAAATAAAATATGAATAAAATAATTCCTTTTTTTTAGGACAACATCGTAATTATTTTTTTGTTTGTTCATTAAAAGTAGGTATAACGTTTTGTTTGTCTATTCGTATAATGTATTTGCCCTTTTGTATTTTCCGGACTTTTTTGTTTGTTTTAATTAAATTACGTTACTCTTACTTAAATATGAAACGTTACACATATGTGAAAAAAAAAATTAAATGGAAAAATGTATCTATCTACTCGTAAATTGATACGAGGTACAATATTAGGTTAAAGGATTGAAAAAATATTCAAGGAAGTATGAAATAAAATTATAAATGTTACTTTATATCATATAATTTCATTATATTAAAAAATGTTATTTACAGAATATTCTCTATCTCCGAAATGTGTCAGAAAAAATCTGTATTGTAATAATTTTCACAAAATATATTTATGTAATAAAAGACACATTACAAGATTAACTTTTCCCTTGGACGCATGGGGTTCCTTAAAAATAAGGTTTTTTAAGGGTCAATAATGCATTTGGGACACCCCTGGCAACAGGCGTCCACAGACTACGCTAACCGTATACCATCAGATGAGTTATAATGACTTAATTACTTGTCACGAAATTTGACACAAACGTAGTGTTATTGGGGAGGACATAGGCCACTTCGAATCCCGGTCACTAGGTCACGTGGACGAAGTCGCGGGTAAAAAGTAGTTGTAGTGTAATAAAACACTTCTTGTAATTGGAAATTAGTACCTTGACAATGGTGAAGGCTAACAATAGTTCGAAACGGACTACAATTGGCAGGCAAGTCTTCCGGTGGTAAACAATTGGCAGTGATGACAGTGCCACTGTCATGGCTGACTGCTACGTCATCTAATGGTCTATTATCTTTAGTGCCCAATAATTAATGATAAAGAATTAATGTGTTACACGTGATTTATAATAAATCGTAATGACTGTGGATTGTTGGAGTGTTATTGTAATTTTAGATTTTGCTTTGGAACTTCCTTATTTTTTCGAAATAGCAATGAGGGCTTTTTTAATTAGTAAAAATGGAATGGTAACCATTGGCGGATTTACATATTTGATGCCAGTGGACTATTTAAATTTTTCCATACCTATCAATCTATACAATTCAATAGCCTTGTTCACAATCATGTTAATTAAAATTGTTTTGTTAATAAAAATTTTAATTTTATGATTAGAAAAAAAAATTGTTTTTAAATTCGCCGCCGCTATAATCTGCCGACATAGGTCTACCCTAATCCAGCTTTGAGAGGCTGTAAGTAAATTCGTCACTGATGATAGCCTCGCTTGCGCTATCGGTATACACTGACGAGGCATCAGTGAGAGATGATAAGTGAGAATGAAAGAAGGTTTATTAGCCCATCGTGACGAATTCAACAAGAATTAACCACGATAGTTTCCAAGGGGAACCGCGTGGAGGTCGACATGATAGAGTATATTGCTAGCAATGGGGCTGTTAGACCCCATTACTAACAATCCAGTTTCCAGAAAGAACGGAGGAATGTTACCATTGGTATCACAGTATATTCTATAATATGTTGCTATTATAGGTTATCACTTTCTTCAGATGGATTGTCGGTTTGTTTGGTCGTTGTCAGCTGCATGAATAAAATAGAATTTTCATTGTAATATATAGTATGGAGTTTCAGATATAGATCTTGTTTTAATAAGAGACTGATCTAGAATGCTATCTAAACCGGATACAATGCTACACCTGTAAAGTGTAAAGATACAAATTAGGCTTAAAATAATTGTAAAAATTGTATTTTTACGATTATGAATAAATTTATTTATTTATAAAAGAGCTTGTCTATCATTAAAGTTTTTTCCAATTCGTACGACAAGGTCTTATATAAATTATTTCACATAATGTACAATAAATTTTACATCATCATTATATCAGCCTTTTAATTATCCACTGTTGAACATAAGCCTCCTCCTTGGGGGTTATGCCAGTAGTTGCCACGCTTGGCAGGCAGATTAGCAACCGCAATCAGACTTTAGAGATGTTTTAAGAGGAACACTGCTGCCCATCCCTCGTACTCCATTAGTTGACTCTAACGACATCGACGGCTAAGGAGGAAGTGGCCTATTCTATGCCGAGACGGCACATACACGGCCATTTTGTCCTGTTAATTTACGTAATGTACAAATAATTTTATATATATTTATGAGAATGTTACAAAAATAGATAAGGTATATAGTTGCCATTTTCTATCAGGTGGACTTACAGCTTGTTTGCCATGCTAAGTTGTAAAATGTTGCATTACGAACACGAAAATTTACTCACATATTTTTAAACAATAACTGAAAGGGTCTCTGTTAAACTCTGTATATATTGAAACTCTTTACTTTCTTACTTTCAGAAGATAAAGTTGAAGAGTGTTTATCTCTTTATTAAGTTACTTCGTTAAAGGTAATATCGATTATCTGTTTAGTAAGTCTAGTATAATCAAGTTGTACTGAATATTAATACACCAATCTGGCTACAACAAGACCAGTTCAATTACCTTAACTACATTGCATATTGTATATAGTTATCTAATTAATTGTGCTTTAGTCTACACAGTTAACAGTTTAACAAGTTTAATAATATAGTTGTACTAGTGACTCATAATTTATACCAACAATATAAAACAAACGATAAAATCAATTAAACAAAATAATAAGTTAAGATTGTATTTTACAAAAAAGACCATTTTCAATTATACAAAAGTCGATTGCTTGGGCACCTCTGTCCCATTCGTGTTTCTACTATCCTGTTTGCATGCTGTGCACTGCAGGGCTGTGTTTCGGTTTGAAGGGTGGGATATGGCGTGAATTTACTGGGTGCAGAGGATTAACACCTGAGTTCTCAGGAATGGCAACGCATGGGGGTATCATGGGCGAAACAGTATACTTCGTTATGTCCATGGTACTGCTCATGTTCTATAGGCGATGGTTATCACTTTCCATCAGGTGGACCGTCAGCTTGTTTGCCATTCTAAGTTGTATATAAAAAAAAAAAAAAAACTTAAAAACTAAAATACTAAACCAGTTTTGATAAAGTTTCTATAGGTCTAATCTGTATTTTCTTCTAGATAAAAGAGTTATGAGGTAATAAACATAATAAAAATATAATCGATTTGAGAATATCCTTTTTTTGAAACCTGTTGAAAATAAATCTCACAATTGTAATTCCTAATAGGTTACAGGTATTTTTTTTTATGGGTGAAAATGGTATGGTAACCCCGCCTGCACTAACGGGATACGCTGGCGGAGCACCAGTGAAGGGTGATAGATGAGAATGAAAACAGGCCAGTTAGTCCATCATTATGAATTCATAAGGAATTAACCATGATAGTTTCCAGGGGGAACCGCGAGGAGGTCGACCTAGTTGGGTATATTGCTAGCAATGGGATTCTCAGTCTCCATTACTAACAATCCCTTTCTCCCCTAGATTACAGGTATTTGTCGACTATTGCACTCACATTCTCGGACCCGCATCTTGCTGAGCATATTAGAACCCAAAGCTGTGGAGATTGAGCCTATATTAGCTTATATTATTATTATTTTTAAATCTATGTTTATAGCACCAGTGAATTTATTAAATTTCTGTGTCGCATTGTTTCTGGTTTGTAAGAGTTCAAGTTCTACCCAAATGTTCGTATTAATTCACGTTTCTTATTATGGACAATTAGATATGTAAATTGGTAGACAAAAGTTTTTGTGTCCTCTACATTTGAATTTACATTTTATGAGATCTATAAGTCAGAGTAGTACTGGCTCACAACATTTAATTTATAACAATTATGTATAATAAGCGATAGAATTAACAAAAGTGAATAACAAAATAATAAGAATATGTATGGAATTTTTCATATGTCATAATCAATCGTCATCACCACAGATAATATAGGACTAGGCCATCACATAATCCATTTATCATGTGACCGCGCCGTATGTACAAAGTTTGTTCATTTTTTATATACAATAAATTTAATACAATTGGAATGCCAAACAAGCTACCGTCTGATGAAAAATAGTAACTAACAGTCATTTATGTGACTGTGTGTGAACCGCCATGGTACGGGTCACATCACAAAATATCTACACTACAATTTACTCATATATACAACATGGTATCCCAGATGCGTTGCCACTCTTGAGAATTAATGCTTCCCTGCCCTGTAATTTCACTGCCATAGCCCATCCTTCAAACTGAAACAC